AAAAAGGAGATTGCTAGGAACGGCTGCTGCTCATATCAGCGCACTCCCAACCAGGTCAAAGGCGGAGTTTTCAAAAAAAAAAAAAAAAAAAAAAAAAAGATATCATAAGGACAAAAAAGAGCAAATGAAGAACACTTCGCACAAAAACCAAACAATGGGCCCTCTCTCCACTCCTTTCGAAAAGTGCAAAACGAGAGTGAATCTTCCGCTAGATCATGGCAAGATGCACAGCCATGATTTTTGGCCTTTTGTGCTCATTCAGACCGTACGTACGTACATACGCACCGTCCACTCGTACTCGCATCTCCTGCTGCCACGTCAGCAGTAACCCCTTGCCGCTCGCTCTCCCAGATGGACTTCCGATCCGCCCAATCACACTCCTCGTCGTCATCGTCCTTCCGCTCGTCTCCGCTCCGGGCGGACGAAGTGCCCGCAAACGAGCTGCCCGCCTCAGATCCCGACCCTTGAAAGTCATCATCATCCCACTTCCCGCCCACTACGCGTCCACCAACGTCCCCCTGCTCATCATCACCGCGCTGTAACCCATCCGTCGAGCATTCTAAGATATCCACATCATAATCCTCCTCCCCCTCCGCCATCCCCCCCCCGCCCCCCTCTCGCAAGAGGGCCGACGGTTGCGCCAGCCCGACGACCCCCCCATCGTTGCGCGTTTGCCCGCCATGTACACATCGCCTTCCTCCTCCTCCTCCTCCTCCTCCTCCTCCTCCTGCTGCTGCTGCTGCTGCTGCGGCGGCGGCGGCGGCGGCGGGCGCGACCCCTAGCGCAGGCTTCTCTCGTTTCGCCGCTACCTCCGCAGCTTCTGGCGCGATCGCGATCGCAACCGTCGGAGGTTCCCGCTGACTGACACCCGCGGCGGCAATGTCCGTTTCCTTCGCCTCCGCCAAGCGACCGCCGCTCTCTCCATCACTACGGTAATTGGACGCCATATCGCCTCTACTCCGCCGTCTTCTCGCTTCCGCCTTCTCCCCCCCACCCTCCTCGTCCGCGTCTTCCTCTGCCCCCTGCACCCCTCTGCTCTCTCCTGCCCCACTTTCACCACCTTCGCCCACATGGATCATCCGCCCGCGTGCGGAATGGAAGCATTAACCCAAGGAGCCCACCGCTCTCTCTTGCCTCTCCTTCCTCCTCCTCATTCTCCTCCTCCACCCTCTCTCCTCCTCCTCCTCCTCCTCCTCCTCCTCCTCCTCTCCTCCTCCTCCTCCTCCTCCTCCTCCTCTTGCCGCCCGTCGTCCTCTGCCATGACCTGCGAATCGCCTGCCCGACTCCACCTGCTGCTCACGCACTCGGAAACACGGCAAGGTAGTCACGACAAACACCGCGACCGCGAACTCCCCCGCTGCTTCCGCCGTCGGTTGCGAAAGCAGGATCTCCGTCGCGCGGCTAACTCACGCTCACCTGGTTTCGAACCAGAGCGCGCTCTGGTCTGGTTATCTGCAGCTCCGCTGCGCACGCCGATCGGAACTCTGTGTGTGTGTGTGTGTGTGTGTGTGTGTGTGTGTGTGTGTGTGTGTGCGTGTGGGTGTGTGGGTGTGTGTGGGTGTGTGGGGGTGTCTACGTGTGTGTGTGTGGGTGTGTGCGGGTGTGGGGGGGGGTGTATGTGTGTGTGTGTGTGTCCCTGCTGCCCTGCTGCCCTGCGCTCATCTCTTCCTGCGCTTCTCTCTCTCTCTCTCTCTCTCTCTCTCTCTCTCTCTCTCTCTTTGTGTCTGTGTGCGCGTGTGTGTCTCACCCACACCGCTCGATGACCGTCGCTGGCCACACTGACATCACTCAAACCTTTCGTCTGCCATAGCGTGCGATCTCAACCTACTGATGTCTGGAGAGTTCCTTTTCGCGTTTTTTTCACTTTTCTATGCATCTATACAATTATATTTTATTACGTTTCATCTGATTGCCTTGGATTCGAACTCGGTCTGTATTTCGACACCGGATAGGTTTACCAACTGCGCCAGGTAGGCCCGTTGGTCTGCAGAGAAATTCCGGCATGGAGCAGTCGTGACCTCAACATGCCCCCCTGCCCAATCCATTCCGCCGTTTGTCTTCTTCGATCTTCGATTCAAACGACGAGCAAAGGAAAAAGACAAACGAACAAAAAAGGATGACGCCTGCCTTCTTGTTTCTTCCTAGATACCCCCCGCAGTCCCTATTTTGCCTCAACGGACCAGCTCTTGGGGCTCGCTCCACTGCTCTCCACATCCACAAAAGACAAAAAATACGGCGGTGTATGTTTCCATGTTCTGCAGGAGGATTCACTCAGATTTTGCACAGAGTTAGTAGTAGAGCGAGGCCCCTTGACACGAGGGCCGGCCTTTGGGCTACCCAGAGACACCGTGCATTCCGGACCGTACTGCAAGGGCCTTTGGCTACCCAGTTGTCAGGGTCTCCTATTTCTGACCAAAGGACCCACTTATGTCCGAAGGACATTTCTGATCAAAACAAGGTCGGGTTGAATCCCATGTTTTGGGCTGAGGGGGGCCCAACCTATGGCTGCGGGGGGGCCGACCTATGGCTGAGGGGGGCCCGACTGATTGCTGAGGGCGGCCCAACCCACGGCTTAGGGGCGCCCGTGCTGTCGGAAGGGTTTTTTTTTTTGTTCTTTTTTCCAAATGTGGCCCACACAGATCAGATATTAAACTGCTCAGAACAGATACTACACTTGATCTTAGCCAAAAGGCCAAGGAAGGTATATGTAGGAAGCTTTTTGCTACAGTTAGTCCTCTTCACGGCAGTGTTCAGGATGGCATGGACAGCAGCCATAGGCTAGTTCGAGTTCTGGATGTCAACAGCCAAATCGTTGAACTTGCCTTTATTGAGGGCATACTCCCAAATTCCCCCAAAAAAGGGGCTCGCCACACCAGTGTCGAAACGCTTAATTTTCGACAACTGTCATGCATATTTTTCGACATTGGTGAGTTTGAAAAAAAAACTGCCTTCGCCACACAGCTCAGCTCGGCAGGTTTTTGAGGTTGTGGAAATGAAGACAGGATCTCCACAACGCCTCGACTTTGATAGTTGTCGAAAAGTCACTCGTTTTCACAAGCTCCTTATTGTGGTTTCGAGTTTTGGCCCGCTGCAGGAAGGCGGTTCCGAGTTGGAAACGGCGGTTGTCGAAAACTCATAGCTGACACATATCAAAAAGATGTGGTAAAGAAAGACTTGACACCTGGCGATGCGCAAATGTCAAAAAAATAGTTTTCAACATTGGTGTGGCGAGGCCCAAAAGGTAGAGGACCGGACACATAGATTTGCCAAAGTCCTAAATGTACCATTTGTATGCCCATTTGTCAGCGGCCTGTGTAGCCGCAGGGCAAGGGAATTTGCAGTCACCTCTAGAGGTGACCGCAAATGCCCTATTTATTTTTTCGCATTTTCTTCGAGAATTGGTGAAATTTTGTTCACGAAAGCTCTTGCACGATTTGTGGATGACGCTGTGTGACCAGCAAAGTACCAAATCGCCATTACTCCAAACGGCCAGGGCCTTGTCCCATCTGAAAAGGTACAGCAGTGCAACCGGAACCATGCCCAAAACCTCAAATCAACTCTTTCCAAATCCGCATATTTTGCGGATTTGGGATCGCAGTGTGAGTATGCCCTCACACAAGGACCTGATGACCTTAAATCTCAAATTTTAAGGCAACTTTCAGGTCATACTGGAGAGGCCCGCTACCCAAATGTACTTTTTGGTGACCCTTTTATCAGCAGCCTGCGTGGCCGAGGGAGGACCCAAATTACCTTTTCGATTTTTTTTGTTTCTCTGTGAGGTGTTTTCATAAATTCTTACATGAGCAAAACACATGTGCGTGTTATTTAAGCATTCATAAGGAAAAAAACGAACACGCAAAAACAAACGCCCCATATATTTGTGACTTTAGGTCCTCGTGTGAATATACCCTTAACGTTCATCTTAGCATTCACTCACCTTATAAGAGTAATACTGGTAGTAAACCATCAGTACTTCCTAAAAGTGTGTCTGTTAACGAGGCACAATTTTAAAAAACGTACGAGTCACTACAATACTTTTCGGTGACCCTTTTGTCAGCAATCTGCGTAGCCGCGGGAGGACCCAAATTACCTTTTCGATTTTGTTTTTCTTCTCTGTGAGGTGTTTTCATAAATTCTTGCATGAGCAAAACACTTGTGCATGTTATTTAAGCATTCATAAGGGGAGACAAAAAAAAAAA